TTAGAATACAGTCGAAAGCTTGGAGATTTCCAACTCAACTCTGATTTTCAACTCTGGAAATTCAGAGTTCAGAGCACTGTGCCTGCTAGTTAAACAGATAAGCAATTCTGTTAGAGTTGAGGAAAATAAATTTGAAGTTACTGAGATACATGTCATGGGAATGACTCAGTTAGGAAATAAAGAGGTGCCCACCTGATTATGTTTGCTGTCATGGTTCATGCTTGTTTACAATTTGATGCTCCACACTGTGTGGATTTTGTAGAAATGCCTAATGGGAAGTGCACAGAAGAAAGTTATATGTATGGTAGGCTTTAAAACACTTTAGCAAGATGCAGAAGAATGAATGGTTCAGAGCAAGAAGAGGCTATTCTGTATGTGAAAGGACATAACTAATAAAAAACACTAAGTTATACCTGTTCATAAATGTAAACCCTGGTTTTGCGAAACAGCGAAGCTGAAAACAATTGATATTTATTCATACAAGTTGGTGGTGAATATGTATAAACTTAAATAAACTGTGAGAGTGAACTTCTCACATATGATATTTCCACTTTATACTGTATAAAACAGATCAATTTTTTTTTTCTTCAATGTCTTTACAAATGTTTGGGCTTATTTTTGTAAACAATGGAAAATCTTAATCTTCCTTTTCTAGTTATATATATATGAATTTTTTAGGACTATGCTCACAGAAAATGTCTCCAGTAATATTAATCAGCTGAAGAGGTTGTCACTTACTGATTCGAAATGTATTTTATATTTAATTCTGCTCTTCCCTACTAAGCTCACTGTAGGAGCACAGCTGTGAGTTTAGTAGTCTCCTTCAGACAGTGTTCTGATCTGATCAACATGGAAATTGATTTCCTTCATCCTGATAGAAGTTCCACAGAATGCTTATGCGGAAGTATGAGTGGGAGGTAGTCTGCATTTCTTAAAACAAGACGTACTGATAGAGCTTGTCAGCTGGGGCTTCAAATCAGAGACCTTCATCACTGTATCTTCCCTTGAATCAGAGCAGGATCACATAATCAAAATAAATAACAAACTCCAGATGATCTGATGAAGTTGTCTTGTGATTTGATCAAATATTGGCATTTTGTCATGATTGTTTTCCAGGAACATTTTTTGATATTAGACTATTGCTAGATTTATACCTCCTCTAAAAGATGCCATGTGGGCATTTTCCCTTCTTCCAAATAAGTTCTAGAGATAAAATCACCAATGTTATTGCTATGATTTCAAATACAATGCTTACTTTTTGGCCGTGATCTTACTGTTTTAAGTGAAGGGAGTTAATTGACCCTTTTCTACTAACCACATGCCACATTCACCTAAGACTAAATCAAGTTTGGAAGGATTTGATTCCAGTTAAGCTCTTGAAAGATCAGGCGTGCTTTAAGCTGACAGTTGAAAAGGCAGAATGTTGTACAAGCTTATGAAAAATTGATGCTGGATTCTGGAGCAATTCTGAAGATCAGAAATATTTTTTAGAGTGTCTTTTCAGGTTTTTAAACCTAAAAAAAAATTCACATTTTTAAACAAAAAAGAAAGATTTTGAAAGTGTTACTAAATGATGCATTGCAGTTTTTAGGTCTTTTTCATTCAACTGCTGCATTCCTCAAACTTTTTTTTCCCCATTAAGTGCTAATATATTCTATGTCAGCTATGCTCTATTTTCCTTTCTAAGATTTTTTTCTCTATCTAGCTTTCTGTCAGACCAGAGACTCAGTAAATTAACTTCGGCTGATATCTGTAGTCACAGAATAATTTCATCATTTCCTACTACAATCTTTACATGAAAGACTTCAGTATCCTTTCTACTATCAATTTTACTTTCCAGCTTCTCTAAGCCTGTCAGTGCCTGAAGATATGAGCCACACCTGCTGAAGATGACTTGCTCAGCAGCACTGAAATTTAGCCTTGTTGACTTCAGGAATCACAGGATTTAATTTTGTGCTTTCTTTGAATTCAATAAATTTAGTTGTTTTCAGTACGGTTGCTTTGAATAAAATATAGGAGAAATCCAAGTCGCTTACATTTTTATAATTTCCAAAATAATTGCTGATTTTTAAATATCTGAATTCGTACGATAATTGTAAAGAAAACCATTATCAAAATAAAATTGTAGTTATCCAGAGGATATGTGCTTCTGACAGTTTTGGAGAAATCTCAATAGTTCTTAAATTCATCTTAAATATGTACTTTCTAACCTTGATTTAGAAAGTACATATTTCTAAATTGATTTATGTCCATCTCTGAATATACTTATTCATTTTTAAATTAAGATATTTTCTCCAGGTGTCATTGGCTGCAATTCGGATTATTGGAATATCACAACATTTCTCAGCTTATGGTTTCTGTTCTCTTCTTTTTTCCTTATTTCTCAGTGTGGGTCCATGTTTGTTCTTCTACTCAGTTGGTATCAACTATCACCAGCACAATGGTGCAACTAGAGCTAGTGCTTACAGATATTCTGTTCAGATTTTATGAACCAAAGTATTCTTCTGTCACTGTGATAAAAACAAAAGGGGAAACAAAAATGTAGGAAAAATTCTTCATGACAATGGTAGGCATAAAAAAACATTATTTATCATTCCAAGATTTATTACTAATGGATTGATTACAGTTTTAGCTCAATGTATGTCATGAACATCAAAACATATGTTTCTGAAGTCAGAAAATACAGCCTGTTTTTAAAAAAAAATGTTTAAGAATTGTTATTCTTTACAAGTTTTTGCTTATAATGAAATTCTTTGAATATCTGTGAGACTGTGTCTAAAGTGTATGTTACTTACATCTGGCTTATGAGAATGTTCAGGGATTGTCATATCTTATGCCCAACTTTTCATGATACAACTGAGCAGAGTGAGATTGTGTTTTGCTAGTCTTGACAGCCTAAAAAATAGGTCTCATCATGCCTTCAGAAGAAAATGGTGAGAATATTTTTACAGTAAAAAGGTAGAACCTTTAAATAGTCTGCACAATACAAGAAAAGTTAGGAACTGTCAGCAATAATCAGCATTTTTAGAATGTTTCCCAAATGTTGTTCCATAAAGTAAGGTAACTTGGTTATGTATATGAGGGATGAGTTTGTGTCATAATTCCTGTTCTTCTTAGTTATTTGCATGGGAACTGTTAATTTTCCATATGAGCAATTCCATTAGCTGACAGAGAGAAGCTATGAGGCTTTTTTCTTCTGCAAGATACAGAGGGACAATTCATGAAAGGCTTTTGTTCTTGGAAAATTAATGTTTGGCTTGATATTCTTGATAGATTGTTTGTTTTAAGGAAATTTACAAAATTCCATGATGCTTTTTAAAAGTTTGTTTGAAGACACTTTGTCAAGACTTTTTAAAAATTATTTCTTATGCTTTAGGAATTGATAGGGGAAAAGTATAATAAGTATAATAATGTTACTGAACATCTTTGTAGTCATCACCAAGGAAAAAAACTTCCTCTCTCTTTCCTGTGGAAATACTGAGAAGAGTATACTGGAATGCCGTTTCCAACCCCATAAGTGGGCGGACCCATTGGATATTTGGTGATACTAAAAGGATGTATCATTCTGTGTCTGTCATAAAAGCCCTTTTCGGGCAAACACAGATGATATGTCTTAGAGCTGTCCCCTTGGAGAGCGCCTGACAGACAATAGAGACAGACATCTGTTTTTCAAGAATGTGTGTTTCTGCAAAAGCCCAGCATTATTCTGTTTTTCCCATGAGATGAATCAATTTCATGGATATATGTGATTAAAGACAATTTACCAGGCTTGAATTGGGCTAATGCAGTATTGTAACAAGATCACACTCCAGTAAGGATTGCTGTAGTGTATTTTTGCTCCCACATTTTAAGTTCTTTGTCATAATCCCTGGCCTCAGTTAGAAGAGGCAGGTGAAGCCAACAATACATTTTGTTAATTATTCTATTTAAATGTGAGACTGAAAACAATGAAAGTACCACAGCAACTTGAGATAACACCAGATCCCAGAGAACCTTGTCCCTGAGTCCTTGCATCTGACCCCTTGGCTCTTTCTTCTCCCTTCCTGTTTTGCCTCTCAGCAGTGAGCTCAGATAGCATGAACTGAGTAGTTCCTCTCACCTGTAGGAGAAAACCACTAAACTAGCTCCAATCTGCATCACAAGTGTTTTGAGGTAGTCTCTACAAAGTACAAATGCTTTTTGGGGAGTGAATATTTGTCACAGGTGGTTTCAAAGTAATCAGTGAGCACAGAGCTGGCATGGTCTTTCCCATGTCCATCGTACTGTTTCTGAAATGAACAGTGTGTTCCGCACGTAAGTTATTCGGGTCAGACCTGAACCATGTGAAGCAAAAGAAGCCATAGCAAGTACAAACTGTGCTGCTCTGACATTCTCAACAAATCAGGCACAAAATTTGCCAAAACACAGGAAAAAAACGTGTTTTGTAACTCCTGAAAAATAACAAGCCAAACAGAAAACCTCACCTGTTCTTCATCATATGTATTTAGACTATTTCAGTGTTTCTCCATCAGCTATGCAAAGAACTCATTGACATTCTCACCATTTATAGTTTGATCTATAACTGCATTTTTCAGTCAGCGAAGTTAGCATCTAGCAAAATTGTGCTGCAATTAACAAAACATGAGTTATTTGAATATGGAAAGGAAATTGTTGCGCATATTCAATTGCTCTTTAGTGATCTTTATTTTCAGTGTGTGACAGAAATTAATTTGGGGAAATGTATCACAGTTGCTGATAGCTATCTGATTTATGCATATGTTGCCTTGCCAATGCAGCATCAAGCTGTTAAGAGAGTTTCCTTGGTCAGTATTTCATTTTCATAAAGGCTAACAGTATCTTCTGTTAGCCCATTAGCAGGATTATAAAACTTGAAACACACATAGTAATAAATCTTCTCCAATTATCAAGTTGTAAGAAGCAGCTTATTGGTAATTTCAAAGTATATTCAAAGTGTATTAGCTCACTCCCTGACGTGAGAATCCATCCTTCTTTGTAAATAGAGCAGAGATTGCCTAAAGCTGGGCCCACCTGCAGAGGGAGAGGTTGTTCAAGTGAAGTGGCCTGATGGAAAGCTGTATGGTGCAAAGTATCTGGGACCAAACACAGCTCACATGTATCAGGTGAGTGTCTATATTTATTACCAGATGCCTATTTTTGAGATGTCTTTATTGCTTATTCAGCTCTAGCATTGGAGTGGCAGACCACAAGTTCAGAGCTGCAGGAGTATGGACTAAATTGTAAACTGCTGATGCCTTTAAACCAGCACATAATGCTGTCTAAAACATTAACTAGTACTGTGCATTTCTGCCGAGTTGATGTTTTGCTTGATCCCATGAAATTAAAAAGAATGATTATTTAATAGAACTCAATCAGTAGTCTTCACAGAATCACAGAACTGTAGGGGTTGGAAGGGACCTCTAGAGATCATTGAGACCAACCCCCCTGCCAAAGCAGGTTCCCTACAGCAGGTCGCACAGGTAGGCATCCAGGCAAGACTTGAATATCTCCAGAGAAGGAGACTCCACAACCCCCCTGGGCAGCCTGTTCCAGTGCTCCATCACCTCACTGTAAAGAAGTTCTTGCGCACATTCGTGTGGAACTTCCTATGCTGCAGCTTATGTTTCCCCTTGTCCTGTCTCCACTCACCACTGAAAAGAGACTGGCCTCACCACTATGGCCCCCACACCTCAGATATTTATAAACCTGGATTAGATCCCCTCTCAGTCATCTTTTCTCAAGGCTAAATAGACCCAGTTCACTCAGCCTTTCTTCATAGGGGAGATGCTCCAGGCCCTTCACCATCTTTGTGGCCCTCCGCTGGACTCTTTCCAAGAGATCCCTGTCTTTTTTGTACTGGGGAGCCCAGAACTGGACGCAGTACTCCAGATGAGGCCTCACCAGGGCAGAGTAGAGGGGGAGGATCACCTCCCTCGACCTGCTGGCCACGCTCTTTTTAATGCACCCCAGTAAGCCATTGGCCTTTTTGGCCACAAGGGCACACTGCTGGCTCATGGCCAACCTGTCGTCCACCAGGACACCCAGGTCCCTCTCTGCAGAGCTCCTCTCCAGCAGCTCATCCCCCAGCCTGTACTGGTGCATGCAATTATTCCTCCCCAGATGCAAGACTCTACACTTGCTTTTGTTGAACCTCATCCAGTTTCTTACTGCCCAGCTCTCCAGCCTGTCCAGGTCTCGCTGAATGGCAGCACAGCCTTCAGGCGTGTCAGCCAATCCTCCCAACTTCATATCATCAGCAAACTTGCTGAGGGTGGCCACTGTCCCCTCAACAAGGTCATTGATGAAGATGTTGAACAAGACCGGACCCAGCACCGACCCCTGAGGGACACCACTGGTTACAGGTCTCCAGCCAGACTCTGCACCACCAACGACGACCCTCTGCGCTCTGCCAGTCAGCCAGTTCTCAACCCACCTCACTGTCCACTCGTCTATCCCACACTTCCTCAGATTTGTTATAAGGATGTCGTGGGAGACAGTATCAAATGCCTTGCTGAAATCAAGGTAGACTACATCTACCGCTCTCCCCCCATCCATCCAGCATGTGACAACATTTTTCATTTTATAAAGGTGAACAGGTAGAATATTAAGAGAAATAGTTATTTTTTTCCAAGTCATTTACTTACTATCTCCAAATTGGTCATTTATTTATTTGATTTCAGGTAATTACACTATTAATGAGATAAAATCTATTAATACTTTGTGACCACAATGTGCCCCAGGCATTTTGTGAAAGGATGGAAGGAAAAACAGTAAAAAGAAGAGTGAAAATAGCTCCACTTCCATTTGTGCAAGGTACTTTTGAATTAATTAACACATAATCTAAGGAGCATTTTATCCTTAGCAAAGCCAAAATGAAACTGAACACTGCAGCTTTAAAAGCCTTTTAAGGCTAAAAAGCTGACTTCTGATTTCAGAGACACAATAATCGTTGGTTTTTTTTGTACTTGCCTTTGAGAAAAAATCAGTCAGCAGCTTTGAGTACTGAAGTGAATGGTAGAAACTGCAATAAAACAATCACAATAATAATACTACTTCTGGAAGAATGAGAATCTCGGTACATTTCTTTTATATATATATAATCATTTTCACTTATGTAACTCTTTTCATCTGAAGGCTTCACATTACTGTACAAAAATGGTAAATTTGCTATTATATCTGCAGATAAATTAAGGCACAGGGAGGCTAAATGATATGCTGCATTGACCTTCTCAGTTTGCCAATGACTTGCAATCAAACTCAGGTCTTCAAATGCCTGATCCCTTGAGTTAGTCTCTAAATGTTACCCTTTTGCTTATATTTAGAAGATGTATTATTTTGTGAAAGTGAAAAGTTGTGTTTTTTTTTTAATGAAATACAAAGATTGTTCTACAGTAACAGTAATCTTCTAATCATTTAATCTTCTAAACAGTTGGTCTTCTAAGGAATACTGTGAGATTAGATTAATATGGTTGTTTAAAACCAAAATAGTAAAAAAAAAAGAGATTTTTGTCTCATTTAGGACCTCTGAGACAACATGATAAAAGTAGTATAATAGAAAATAGACTAGCATAAGGATGTTAGTAGGGTCTGCAGTTTTTGCAGTTCCTCAGCATAGCAGTTATAGGATTATTAAGTTTGGAGAAGACCAGTAAGGTCATCAAATCATCTATCCATCACCTCATGAGTTTCCTCATGAATTTCACCGAGGCCCAGTGCCCAAGCCACAAAACCATGTCTCTAAATGCCACATCTGTACATTTCATGAACGTGCCTCTATCCCTTCCTTGGTTAGCCTCTTTCAATGTGCACCCACACCTCCTGAGAAGAAATTTTTCCGAATATCCAACCTGAACGTCCCGTGGTGCAACTTCAGATCACTATCGTCCTATTGTTGTTACCTAGGAGAAGACACTAATCCCACCTAACCACAACCTCCTTTAGGTAGTTGTACTGAAAGATGAGATCTCCTCTTAGATTCCTCTCCTCCAGACTAAACAGTCCCAGTTCCCTCACCCACTACTCAAAAAGCTTGTGCTCAAAACCCCTCACTAACTTTGTTGCCCTTCATTGCCCACTCCAGGGCCTCAGTATCTTGCTTTTAGTTTTGGGGCCCAAAACTGAACACAGTACTTGAGGTGTGACCTCTTCCCCACCAGCTCATTTTCTGGCACTGGAGTCAGCCTGCTCCTGTGCATTTATGATAGAATCACAGAATTTTTAGAGTTAGAAAGGATCTTTAAAGGTCATCTGGTCCCAGCTCCCCTTCAGTGAATGGGACATGCGCAGCTAGATCACATTGCCCAGGGCATGATCCAGCCTGGCCTTGAAAGTTTCCCAGGAAGTACATCAATTACATCTCTGGGCAACCTGTTCCAGCTCCTCACCACCCTTGCTGTAAAAGATTTTTTCCTTATATCCAACCTAAATTTACCCACTTTAAATTTGAAACCATTTCCTCTTGTTCTGTCACCACAGACCGTGCTAAAAAGTCTGTCCCCTTCTTTTCTGTAGCTCCCCTTTAGATACTGAAAGGCTGTAATCAGGCCACCTTGCAGCCTTCTCTTTTCCAAGCTGAGCAGCCCCAGTGCTTTCAACCTGTTTTCATAGGAGAGGTAGTGGGTGTTACCTCAACACAGGTGCATGATCTTGTATTTGGATTTGTTGAACCTCATGAGGTTCACCGAGGCCCAGTGCCCTAGCCTGTCTAGGTCCCTCTGGCAGGCATCCTGTCCTTCTGATGTGTTGAATGTGTTGACTGCACCCCACAGCTTGATGTCATCTAGAGACTTGCTGAGGCTGCACCCAACCCCATCAGTGTCATTGATGAAGATAATAAAGCACTTCCAATCCTTCAACTGACTGCCCCAAAACCCCAAAGTTCCTTTTAATAGCCTCAGGCTTCTCTGTTTGACCTCATCATTGCCAATCTGAACTACCTGAAGTGGATAATAAGTATTAAAGACTACTGTGAACTGCTTTTAATAAAACAAACTTTTTAAACAAACTGGGGAAACAGCAAAGATTAAAGGGTGTCCAAGTTGTACTATACAGGATTTCTGAAATTTTGCAAGCATTTTAATCTGTATGACAGGACTGCCAAACATGACCACAGATTACAGAGTCTGTGACATGCAAGGTGCAAGATTAACTCCAAGACAAATGAGTAGTGCTTCTTATTTATCTTAAGTGGTTTCCAACACAGCCTCCAGGACACATGCACATACGCACACTGTTTTCTGATCTCTGTTGGACACTTGAGATTCTCATACCAAAAGAATCTCTTACTCTTTCGTGTTCTCTTATATTGTACCACAAAAGGAGAAACTGAAAACGAGTCTCTGAAACAACTGTCATCTGATACAACAAATCTATTCAAATATTGAAATACAGATAAATTTTTGAATTGTTCTCATGTTCTTGAGACATTTGTACAGAATTTGACAGTGCTTATGCATGCAGGAGCTATGACAAAATGTGCCAGAATTTGTGTCATCTAGCTTAACATTTGCCATCCAGTTACCCCACACAATCCCCAATCAGAGTTATACCTGCAAATGGAGTAAGTGTTCATTTCAAATGAAACTGTTAGTGATGTCTATCTGTGTGATGTCATTTTTAATGTAGGTATGATTGTTTTCAGTGTTTATTTTAGATTTTCATTTGAGATGATTAAATTATTCACCCTGTTGTTTTCTACATTTTCCACTGATCCTTTAATCTTGTTGTCGTGATGAAAGAAAATCTCATGGAGAGAATAAAGTGGTACACAGACCCAGTGCAACTGCAGAAGTGCAAATAAAATAAATTGCTGGATAAAACAGATGATTGATGATGTAGTATATGCAGTCTGGAATAAGTTTGAGTTATTAGAGACAATGGTTTTGTATTTTGCATGAATCACAAAACAACTGGAAGTCTTAGAGAAGTGCTTATGTTTGCCTTTAACATTATGGCAAATACATTTCCAGTGCAGTTTCATGCTGAATTATAGCTGAAAACTTTCCAGTTGCAAAGTTGAACATATTTCACACAGCAAACTTGTAAAATTCTGTGGTATGAAGCAGTCTCCTCCCTCTTTACCCTGCTATTAAAACAAAAGTCTTTGCCCATTAATTTTCTCATTGCATGGAACCAAGGGATTTTATTTCCTGCCTGATTCTTTCACTGGTGATGCATAACAAGCATTACTGCAGATACGAAGCAAAAACATACTATGAAATGTACTGTGCAGTAAAGGGCAGGAAAAACAGAAAGTCTGCTGACAGATAATGGTGAAAAATAATAAAATGGCCATCGTTTAAACAAGTTTAAACCAAAGGGAACTTTATGTTCCACTAGAGTACCACTCGCTGACTTGGCCTGTAGGGTTAGTAACAGGAACAGAGGGGCGAAGATGACTTCTGTGATTTTTTTACATATCTTGCTCTGTGGAGTTTTCTTTGGATTTTAAATGTGCTCTGGATTTATGCATCCCTTTTAAATTGTTTTTAAAGAGATCTTGCTTTTAAAGAAGTTAATAGTTCATACACCTGTACCCTTACTTTTGACAGTGGATATACTCTGTTGGATTCTTCAGTTGTTAAAATTAATCTGACACTCTCAGTCAAGGCAAGGTTTTAATTTGGACCTACAAAACCCACTCCATCTACAACTTCAAATACATGATTTTTCAGATTTATCTATGATAACACTTTAATAATGTTTTTATATGTTTGCATTTGGACTTATTATTCCAATATGTCTGTTGTCATTCAAGTGGTATCATAAACGGAATGGGGCTTCTTTTAAGTTCTTGCCAAACTTTTAAGTACAGTTTCTATAGGAACTAAAACTGCAGTCCTAGATAATAGCTGAAAGTCACAATTGTTAGATGAAGTATGAAAAAAAAAATCAGCAGCTACTGAAAAGGCATAAATGCTTCAAAGCCTCAGCATTTTAACATTCCCCACACCTAGTTACATTTCCTTTCTCATTTTCTGCTAACGGGGTTCATGTTGGATTAAATCTAAACCTAAGCATGATAAAGCTTTTCATCTTCTGAACAGAGCATTTTAAAGAAATTCCATCAGATTCAATAAAATTCTGTTAACTGCTATTTCCCTAGTTGTCACTCATACTTAGTTTCTTTTGACATCATCTTCCTCAACCTTGAAGCACAGGATGTTAAAATTAAATTTATTTATTTATTTATTAGAAGCAAGGAATTAAAATGAGGCAAATTAAAATGACATGAAGACGTTTTAATACATCGGTCCTACAAAATTATTTTGTCTGTGTTGTTTCTGCTCTGCATTCCTAATAAACTTTATTTTATTGCATGTGTGTGTCAGTGTTGATTTTGAAGTCTCTTTGCTCAGATGTTTTTTTTGGTCTAATGAACATTCTAAGAAATAACATTTTTTTTCTGTTTTATCTTAATTTCACTAAAATAGAAATTATTGATGTTCAAATCTCTGCTTGCATTTTTATTCAGACATTCCCAGAAACTTCCCAGAGTTAAATCATGATTTTTTTTTTAATACTCTTTTTTTTTTTTTTTTTCCCAACTAGGTTGAGTTTGAGGATGGTTCTCAAATATTAATGAAGAGAGAAGAGATCTATACTCTAGATGAAGAGCTTCCTAAAAGAGTGAAAGCCCGTTTTGTGAGTACTTTCTGATAACTTCATGGTATTTACATGCTCAAAATGCCAACAACGCTATCCCTGGCTTTATTCTTACTTTTTATTTTAATTTGTACAGATTTTGCACAGCAATTAGCACAAGTTCACGTTTGCCAGTGAGAAGGATTTGTTGTATTGCTAATACAGGCAAATGCTGCCTAATTCTTCTCTCCCAAAGGAGTCATTGTGGTAGAATATCTGTCAGATCATGAGTAGTATTTTGAATTTTAAAATAGATAACTGTTATGTTCTTTCAGAATGTTTTTATGATGTCCACAACTTTTGAAAAACTTTCCAAATTATAAGAGCTTTGAGATTTTAAATGCTTTTAATTTAATAAAAATGCAATTAACTCGTCCTGAGAAACAGAACACCTGTTTCATGAAAACTCATTAATATCACTAACAGGACTTAGACCATTTCTCTGGTCTTTAGTTTAAAACCAGAGCCTCATATTTTTCCAGTTTCTTGTGGTTCCAGACAACATCCGCTGGTTAACTATATGCCATTCAGAAAACAGCTGAGGTTCCTGAGGAGCAGAAGTTTGAAAAGGGAAAGTTCTGCCATACAGATATTGGAGGAAACAGATCTGTCTTTGTCACTAATGCTAGATGTTTGTGCAGTTCAATTCAATACTAATTCTACTCAGAAATGCATTGTGCTCATCTCAAGTCCATGTTCTCATTTAGCATTCTTTGTTCAAAACTGTGCCTAGTAAGTTGAATTACCTTACTTAATCTAACAACAAAGCATAAAGATGCTAAGTTGTTCTCATAAATAAGAGAAATAATTCAGTATTGTGTGAAAAAAGGATAACTCTCTTATTAGAAAAATGAAGCTTTGAAAGGGAGAACAGTGCACAGTGTAGTTTTCATTGCTGCAAGGTGGCGGGCTCATACACAAAACCTGCTTGCATATCTGTTACGTGACATTAATTTGATTTTTGAGAGCTGGGTATGTGGCATGGTACGGGAGTAATGTGTAGACTGGATTCTTCAGGCATATTCAGCTTGGATTAGTTCGATGGCCTAACTAACAGCATCACACATATGTATAGATAAGTAACTTTGACTTCCCTTTTTTTTTGCTTCTTGCCTGCTTGCTTCTTCCATCAGTGCCTCCTTTCAGTCAGTCCTCAGCAGCTATCCCCTTTGTGGAGGTTGCACATTTTTGGGCTGTGTCAGGGGCAAGGGTTGTCGTAATGCGTGAATGGGGCAGGAAAGTGAGAGGTAGAAGAAAGGCAGAGAAAACTGAGGTTGTCAGTGAGTGCCTACTGGCAGGATTTACTGAAGGAATAGAATGAGATTAGGACAGCTCTTTCCAGTTGGAGGTGCAATAATCAGATGTTCCTGACTGAGACAACTTTTGGCCAGTTATTTGTGGTAAATGCAAACATCTTTCAGTGTCCTAATTATCTAGGGTTAGGAAAGATGTCATGGAAAATGTTGAACAAACCATCTGGATATATTCAATATGTTCTTCAGTGTTTTTTAATTATATTCAGAACTCAATTGGTTATTTTTTTTTCTTTTTAAGGAGACTACTTACATAAAACTTTTATAATTAATTGCATGTCCTGTAGAACAAAAACTGTTGCATTTCAGTAAGAATATCATTATGGCCATAACTGAGTTCATGCTCTTTTAAAAATGATATTTTTATAGTTCAGTATTTTATTTTTGCATCTGACACCATTCAATTTATATGGACATTAGATATAGGTTAAAAAACACTGAATTTGGTTGGCTACAATATCCAGTCTATACACAGGCCTTTCCATGATTCTCCACAGTTCCCTCAGGTTCTATAAAAAAAGGATTTATTCCTCAAGGTATGTTTAACACTTCCTTCACCTCCTCATGCTGAATTGTTTCCCCTTCTTGAAATATATGACACTAATTTCTTCTAACCAGAGTTTTTCCTAACTGTGGAAATTTTACCACGACTCAAGTAATAGAAGTTGGTTCCAACCTCTCTGCCACTGTTTTTCCCCAAATGGATTGCTGTTTGCCATCCTGCTTCTTTGTCACAGTTGATCCTTTAAGTTTGCTGAGAAACAGCTGTTGATTTCAGCTCTTAGTAAATCAACTAGCATACAGGTTTGTTAACAGAAGTCCTTGAGGTACATTGCACTTAAAACATATCTGAATAAAACACAGATGTGGATAATACTTGATACTGCTGGGAGTGAAGCTACCCAACAGTTGTGTTATTTCTGTGTTGCTGTTTTGCATCCTGAAAGAGTGTGATTTTCTGAGTTCTGGATAAAACCAAACCTAGCTGGTATTAATCACAATTCTAAGGAACACTAAAGATCTAAAAACTTAATTTATGAACATGCAAAACATGGTAAAGTAAGAATTGTACTTTAAAATGTGTGTTTAAACTATACATTTAGTATTTATACATTTTTCTACAAACTGTGTCGTATCTGAATAATCCATCATATAGTTAGTGATGATGCCATGGTGATCTAGTGGAATGTACCTGTACTTCCATGTAACTCCACTAAAATATATCAGAACGTGGTAGTGTGCACCAAGTCTAATGTGTATTTAATGTCTGGTTTTAGTCTACAGCGTCTGACATGAGATTTGAAGACACGTTTTATGGAGCGGATATTATCCTGGGAGAAAAGAAGAGACAGAGAGTACTGAGTTCCCGTTTTAAGAATGAGTATGTGGATGATCCAGGATACCGCACCTTCTTAAAAAGCTCGTTCCAGAAGAAGTGCCAGAAGGGGCAATAAGGGGAGTAATGAAGAGATGAAGACAGACAGAAAGACACACACACACACTGTTTTAGACTGGTTATAGGTGACTAAAAAGTCAAGCAGCATTAGTTGCGATTGGTTTTGAGTTAATTAAGCACTTGGTTTTACAGTGAGGCAGTTTATATGTAAGCCTCGTCAGATAAAGTACTTGAGTTATTACTTCTTCAGTTAAGTAATAAAGATTTTGTAATACTTTTCATTTTGAAACTAGGAGGGAAAACCAAGTGAGAGTAAAACGGATTACACAGCGATAGACTGAAGAAAATTTTTGTTTGAAGTTAGTGGAAAAATTCTCTTTGAGTAATAGAAGATTCACAGTTAGAAGAGGAGACACTTTAATAAACAGAGACAATTGCACTAGCTCATTTTTTTTCTGCCAATAGGGAAGGATGTTAGATTTAATAATAGCAGTTTTTGTAAAACATTTTTTAAGCAAATACAAATATGTACGGGATTAAGACAAACAAAATCAGTTTTGATTCGTACAGTGCTCTTCCTTTTTATGTCACTACTGCTCTCAGTAGGGTTTGATGTGGACTCAACTGTTGACTTAAATATTTTTGGCTTTTCAGAAAGGTATCTTCAGCACAGTAATGATTTTTTGTACATTTAAAGAGGCAGATTTCTGCAATTATTTTTGAACACGTTTTTCATAAGATCTATAAAATAGCTATTTGTAAAATATAATTTTCTTTCATTTTCTGTATTGAAAATTAGAGTTTAAAAATATATGCTTAACAGGCTAGTTTTGAATGAATACAAATGGTCTTCCTTTTAAAATAATGGTCTATCACTGTAATAATATTTTAAACAAATATATAAATAAATGATTTCCTTTTACTTGCATCATTTTGTCTCTTGACATGATTATCAATTCCAGCACCTCTGGTACTTAAAGGAAGGAGAAACTTCACTATCTGCAGTAGACGTGTAGTTTCCTGAACACAACACAAACACATGACTTAGTATTCAAACAGTAACTTGATAAATGCTTTAATTCCTTGTCTATTTCTCTTCACTCTTTGGGATCTTGATCTTTTTGCATATTTCACAGAAAACAGCATGTCTGAATGCATTTCCTGCCTATTTGTCTGAAACACTTTGGTTTGTGAAACCAGAAGAGAGCTTTATCAAAGTTACATCATCTGTTTCTTATAAACTGGCCCATCAGCAGGATTTCTGACTTCCTGCCACGGGGAAAAAAAAAACACCTCTCTCAAAGTACAATTTGAGCACTGCTGTTTCTCAGGCTCTGCTTCTAATAAAGAACCAAGAAGCCATATATATCAATATATGAACACAATGAGTTTTTCATGACAAACCCAGTGCTTTGTTTGCCAAGATGCACTGTTGCCCTTTGCAACGTTGTTGTCTCACTGTTGCCCTTTGCATGATTTTTATTTGTTTGTTTATTTTAAGTGGACAGCAAAGTCTTCTCATCTACTGTGTGGCATCTCCACTATAAATTTAATTTTTCTGTGTTACATTAACTATTTATTATTTTGCAATGAAATCACTCAGAATCCCTTTAGTCTTAGAAATTGCTTAGCTGTGACAATCATAATGTATTTCTTACTGGCATATTTCTTTAGAGGTAGTGGGTTTCAGTGAGTACTGTCTGGCGTATTTCAGAATACCAGAGCTTTTTCCAGAGTTGTAAAAGAAAAATTACCAGGGGTACTGTACCAAAATGCAAGATTGCTGCCCTCATGATATAAATACAGCTGGTGGCTGGTAAGTTATTACATATAATGTAAACACCAGTAATAACTTCTTGATATTAAGTTCCATAGCACTGTTCAAGGATAAGAATGAGAGTGTGATCCATCCATCATAAAGGTGATAAGAAATATTACATTATTCTTCAGTTGAGTACATGTAAACACACTTTGTAAATAAATAAATGAGGCTGTGAGATACTACACAGGCTAAATGTTAAGTGCATGTTCTTTGACTGCATCTAATATGACCTATTAGTCAAAACTGAATAAATAATTACCCTGTCTGTACAAAATGGATGTAGAATTTTTCTCTTCAGGTTCTTTGAGATCTGCTAATAGGAATAATTTCTGAATGGTATAAGGTGCTATAAAATAGCTGTCCTTCTTTTCCAGCTCTGGAAAAAGTAAGTCTGAAATGTACTTTTCTTGATTTTAAATAAATAAGTTCTTGAATATGAAAATAAATAAATGTCCATAGTTTTTAGTAGTGTAACTCATACGTTTTAAAAATACAGTTTATTTTCCATGGTGCCTTGTACTGATAATCCTTTGCTTTAAGTACGGAGAAATATTAGATTTAATCAACAGAATATAAAAGAAATTTTGTTTTAGTTTTTAAGCCACTGAGCGTTGTCTCTTGAGGTCCTCTGTATAATTGGATTTCTTGTTTCCTGAAGTATGAAATGTGGGACTGTATTTGCTATTAAGTGCAGAAACATTGACCTTGATTTTCCTGTTTTTGTCTCCTTATCTATGGAGCTGAGAGAATGATCTCATGAGGTGTTGGGAGGCTTTGTAGTTCGGTAAGTGCCAGATGCAGAGTGCCATGTAAAGAAGGGAAGAACATAGTTACTACTACCGCAGTTTCATGCCTCCTGTCGCAAGATCTTATAGCACTTGCTAAACAATATTTACTAGGCATCCAGCCAAGAAAAAGCTTTCCTATCCTTTGCAGCTCTTCAAATTTAATGTGTTTTTCAGTCCCATGTAAGTGGTGCTGATGTGGACCTTATTAGTATGTGTGAAGGCATGATGGTAAGTGATGTGCATATAATAGCTGGTATGCCAACTGCCAGGAACAGGAAGCTTGCCACTGTCTGAATGAATTTGAAATAGGTCATTATATTGCCAATGTAGCCAAGTTCTCACTCCCATAGAACATTCCATTGATATTTTTGTCCTGTTTCTATGTCCAGAAATGTCTTTCCTGATGAAATAGCATCAGGCCATTACTAGTTGGCTTACAGGGAGGTCCAGTAGGAAAAGTGCAGTGTTACCTTTAAAGTCAGGCTGACTGAATCGTGGTGATTTTCCTAGAAGAGAGCTGCATACCTCCAAGAGAAACCACTCTCTTTCTATTACCTTAGTCCCACAGTAACAAAGTAAATTGTTTTGCACATTCAAAAATCCTGAAGGCTATGTGTGTGTGAGTGCAGAGTACACGAAGTACTAGCTTGACAGGCCAGGGTGCATTTTATTTTTTTCACCATATTCTCATTCATCTCAAAAATACCAAGGAAGAGTCTTGAATACTTGAATTTATGCTGGCTTGTGAAGCAGAATATTTTAGCACTATGATTTCCTCAGCTATAGCTAAGGTTTGATAAAATCGCATTACTGGAATTAGATAAAAATTAGATTACTTCTCTTGAATCCTATTTGCTCTTGTATTACTATAGAAAAGCTATTTTTTTGGTGCTTAATAGGAGCTACAAAATGCATTGTGCTGTGCTACAGTGCTTAAAAAATTTCAATTAAAAGGAGAAATTGATAAATTCCTGCAAAATCTTTTTGCTTTGAAGCTTGTTTACATTCTGCAGCTGTAAGTGAACAGCAGGCTTTTGCAACATATAGTATTATACCCTGACACTTAAAATGCAACAAGATAAAAGCTGCCCCTATTTACATAGCTCCACCCTTTCTTATTTTGTGAGATGTTCTCCGGCATACCGACAGCAAGAGAAAAAAATGCAGATGAGGTAAGTACTGCTTAAATGATCATCTGGCTAAATAGCAAATAGTTTTATTTGCTACCTGTTCTGCTTGAGTTAGGCATCTCTGTGTAGTGGCACAGCCCCAACTGTTGTCTTTGATAACATGTGATGGCAAAATGATAATTTTGCTTGGATGCATGAAATAATTCTTTTCAGCGTGTGAATATTGTAGCAGCATTTTTATTTCCCCTTAAACAACAGAAGTATTTCATGCCAGTGCCCAATAGCATATTAGCAGGAGGGACAGCTTATGTATGGTGTGTGAGATGAATCTCCTACCCATATGCAGAAAAGTCATATTCATCTTTTAAGAAAATACCAGAGCCATCTGAAAAGTTTACTGCATGCCTTTGAACTTCAGAAACCATCTCTGAGGGATCATCTTGAATCCTGAATACCTCAGATAGGAGTCTTCTGTGATATGTCTAGTGAAAATAAAATGAGTGATGATATGGTGGAGTATAAAGGTTGTAATGGAGTTAATCCAAGGTGTTGTATATACTGCCTGCTTGGTTATGGTTTCACAGTTGCTACCAGACCAAACTGTTCCGCAGCCATGCTGCTGAAACATTATTCTCAACAATTTAATGTGTTTCCTATATCTAGATTTGTAGGCAGGGCTGGTAGCTGCCAAATCTTTCTTCTGTAAGTAAGCTTTTGTTCAGTTGCTAATAACTTTGGCAGTGTCGGTAGCCTACAGCTGAAACTTTTGTTTGTCGATAGCTGAAAAACATCAGAGAACTCAAAGCTGTTTGTTAATTTGGAAAAACGATACTGGGGAAGATAACCTTTGGTCCTTCTCTCTGGAATGGGGCCATTTGACTGAGTGTTATGCTTGAGTGCTCCATGTGGAGGGGCTTTAAGATTGGAGCAGCCATTTGCCACCATGCATATCCAGCCCCAGTGCCCTTCTGCTGTGACAGAGCACACTGCATGCACAGTGCCAGTGCCATCACACTGGGACTCACCTTGCCAGGGCTGCAAACTGGGAAGGCCTTTTCCTGTCCTCTGGAGTTACTTAAGTGGAGGGCAGAGATGTGCTCTCTGTTGTTGTCAGTGCCTTGCTGGGTGTTACTGCAGTAGAACAAGAAAGCAGGAGAAAGAAAACAGATAAACCTGCCTTCAGAGGAAAAAAAGGAAAAAAAAAGGAAAGAAAAAGAAAGAATTAAGGCAGATAGGGAGCATTCATGGAGCTGGAAGGGGAAGAAAGAGTGGGATGAGATTCCAAAAAAGAGATTGGGTCATAGTCCTCTGCAGAACCCAGGATGCCCGAGGCTCAAATTTCTTCTGGTATAAGCAAATGGCTGTGAAATGTACCAGCAAATTACTGGCAGGTTGCCTATAGGAATAGCTGTTTCTGATGCCAATTACTGCATCAACTGAAGGAGCAATCATCTTTATTCTCCCAAGGACTTGATCCTCCTGTGCATAGAGGGAAAGGTAGCTACATGTTACAAGTTTTAAAATACGCTTATGTCTTTATTTATTTCAGATTGATCATCAGAAAAAAAAAAAAAAAGAAAAAAAAAACAACACAACAATGTGCATTGGTATGCATTTCAATTTCTGAGCCAGAGTAAGGTTGCAAAATGAGGTATACAGCAAATGCCAGAATTTTCCCAAGAGAAGGAACATCATGTTTGAAGCCTCCTTATCTGTTTCTTACAGATCTAGTCACTAGAGCAACCGTGGGGAAGAATCACCATAGTGACTCTCTGGGATGCACAGGAGTTAAAGCAAGTAAGAATGGAGATGCACTGCATTCCCGAAGGGCATTTCTTGACACAGTACTAACGGTTGATGGCAATGTCATGCTGCATTATTGAGGAGAAAAGGCTCAAGGAACAATGTAATGGAACAAAATTATCTTCAAAAAGTTTCTGTGTCTAAAAGTAGTCCTCTGCAATCCATATGCCTCGCTGCTCCTCTGTGTGCCTGGGCAGTGGGATGATCAACAAAGCTGTTCGTTCTGTCCAGTGCTGAGAGAGCAACCCAGGGTGACTTGCATGGCCCTGTTGTTTCCCTTGGAGTCTATTAA